GGCCACAGCTGAGGAGCAGCCCCTGGTGGTGATGAAAGGTCCACGTTTGGAGGGGATGTAGTATCGGCACAGGTCGGAGCTCAAAACCTTCATGTATTTTTAAGGAATGAAGAGGGAAAAGCATGAAGTAGCAAACAAGTTAGCTGTGAGCTGGTGAAAGGAAATGGATTCCATTAAATGTATAGGTCCTCAGCATAGAGGGAAGATTGGTTCCCTTAAATGGACAGATTTTATGTGAATGAGACATTTCAGACCTGAAAACATCCTCCTGATGTTTATGAATCCTGAGCAGGACATGTGACCAGCTAATATTATGTTAATGTGGACCGTTCTACCACATTCAATGGTTTAGTGGCTGAGGTAATTCATAAGGACACTTGGGCTCGTTCACTCTGGCTCCCAGCGTTGGTCTTTGTTTCGTCAGCTTTCAGCTGAGCTGATTGTCAGTCATGTCACTCAGTAGTTGCTGACACAAACCGACGGCGTGGGAAAAGGTTCCACCTGGAAGCTGTCCAAACGCTCAGCGAGCAGGCCTACGACAAAGGGAATTCCCCTCATCAGCCATTCCACTCGTTTCCACTGGCTGAGAACTGAAACCTCGTGCCTCCTCACAGCAGAGTTCCAGGTGTTGGGACATCCAGCGGCCAGTCTCCTTACTGGCCACGTAAACAGGACCACCGTCCTAGCTTTGCTGCACTGGCTCCCGGTTGCTTTTGGAATAGAATTGAAAATGTTTTAGTTTTTTAAAGCTCTTAATGGCCTAGCCCCCCAGTATCTGACTGAGCTCCTCCAAATCCATGCACCTGCCAGAAAACTGAGATCCTCCAATCAGATGCTACTGGCCACGCCTAAAACCAGACTCCAAACCAAAGGTGACCGAGGCTCTGGAACAACCTGCTCCTGCGCATTCCATCTGCAGGCTCTTTGGAGTTTTTTTGTTTTTTTTTAAATCCTCCCTAAAAACACACCCCTCCCTGGCTTTTAATCAAGTCTAAGTGGATATCTGGCACAAAATTATTTTGTTTAATTTTCATTCTATTTTATTGTATTTATATATTTTAGCTTTTTTAGTTCCCTTATTTCCTGCATATGATATCTGGACAGCACTTTGGTCGACCTGGTTGTTTTAAATGTGCTTTATAAATAAAGGTTGAGTTTAGAGGTCTTTAGTAAAATGAGGCTCTGGCAGCAGCTGTTGGCTTTAACCTTCCCCTCCTCCTGAGCATGCTAACCTCTCTAACAGAGGAATGGCTTTGTTTCTGTGGAAGCCTGTGCTGACCTGTCCACGCTGTCTTTCAGAAGCCAACGTCGGCACGTCCATCCAGGTGGACTCCACTGCCAGAGGGTCAGCAGCCGCCTGGGCCATACTGCCCGTCTGTGAGTGAACACACACAAACACACACATATAGGGGGTCCAGCAGAGGGCTCACAGACGTATGTCCACCCCTCCCTCCCTCCAGTGCTGCTGGCCATGGCGGGAGCAGGCGGCTACCTGATGTGGAGGAACTGGCAGCTGAAGAACCAGAAGAGCATGAACTTTGACAACCCAGTCTACCTGAAAACCACAGAAGAAGACCTCAACATTGACATCACCCGCCACAGCGCCAGCGTGGGCCACACGTATCCTGCGGTGAGTTGAAGGGCTCAGTACTGCACTATATAAGGCACGCCGGATTATAAAGCGCACATGCAATGAACGACCTATGTCAAAATTGTTTCCATATATAATTCGCACTGCATTCAGACTTCAACAAACACAAACCAGCATTCTGAATGTTTACTCCTAAAATTAATAAACAGCTGTTTTATTATTTTTCCCGAGATAATGTCCTCCATTCAGGTAACAGAAACAGTCTGATACGTTATGGTAAATCAGACGTTAGCATCACAATAAATGGCAGCTAGCTTAAAGCTTACAAGCTTTAAACAGGTAAGCCGTTTAAAGCAACAAAACAGG